ATTTTTTTTTCCTATAAATATTATAATTGTGTCACGCGGTATCTGACTTGACTGGCTTCATTTCTTATATGTCTTCTGAGTGCCGGTACCGGCCGGTGCCACTAGTTTCCGGATTGGTGACCACCCGAGTTTTTAGCAACGAATCCTTGCCCCCCCCCCACAATAGCTAATTATCATAGTTGAAAGAGCTCAAAAGGTGAAAAAAAAATCATAATTTAACTAGTTAAACTTATTGTTTAAAATTTGAAATTAACTATAAATATTAAATATATTATTTATTTATTATTATAGTAAAAAATGCATACCCTCCTTATTTTAAAAGACCACGTCATCACTCACCACTTTTCAATACACTGAAACAATGATGTTACCTTTATCACATCATACATGCTTATATAGTTATATATATAATCAATTTTCCATATATTATATTACAATAAATATATTAAACGATCATAATCTATACTTACCTATTAATTTAACGTGGCTGTACTTGAATTTTATGTGTTTATGTTAACGATATATGAAGAAATTTGATATAATATTATAAATTCATGTGAAAAAAAAATATCAATTATACTTAAATATTAATTGTGAAATTTACTAATAATTACTATACAAGTAGGTCCACATTATTGGGGAGGGGGCGGTCGCTCCCTTCGCCCCTCCCACCACAAAGACGTCCCTAATAAGATGGCAAATACAATATAAAATATAGTTTTAAAATTGTGTAGGAGTAGGATTGCGGACAATTTGATAAACTGACAGCGGGCCCCTTGATGCCCGAAGTCGCGAAAATGTTGTAAAATCAAAACGTRAGATTGATCACTACAGTGCTCCCCCTCCAATAATCTGCCCAATACTTACTYCATTGATTATTTGTATATTATAAAACACAACACATTTAGGGTATAGGTACAGATTGCTATATTTACAATTMAATTGAACTCTCTACGCGTCTGATGTCTGGATATCACTTTATTTTTATGCAACTAAAATCTCATCAATACAATAATAAATTAGCTACATATGTATAGGTAAAGTTACAGTTTAATAAATTATAGGTATTAAAATTAATC